TCTCTGCTCCTTTCTCAGAACTTAAGCTAGACTGAGAAATATCCCGAGAATGCCTGAGTCTGAGCTGCATACGTGCAGCCTGCAGGGTAGGGACAAGAGCGCAGTTCTCTCTCCACTGCCCTCTCCAGTTCTGACTGTTTTCCTCTAAACTACAGGTGAACTAGCCACGGTTTTAGAAAACCCCTTTCCTTACCCATGCTGCTGGCTGATGCTCTCTGGTCCTTCAGGGTTTGTCAGGAATGGGCAGAGGCTCCGCAGAGACCAGTGCTGAGGTTGGAGGCAGACCGCACAGGCAAGGGGCAAAGGGAGGGAATTTATGCAGCCAATTGGGGGAGAGGTGGGGCAAGGGGAGGGACCTGGCTGCCATCCAGGGTAAACTATACAGGGCCGCTGGCCAGGATGCCATCAAGTGGCCTGGCTGTTCAAGTTACACTGTGTGTGTACACATGTAATACGTGTGTGTCTATGTATGGGTCCCTATGTATGTACTAAGTTTGTGTACCCGTGTGACATTCTCCTGTGGGTTCCCATGCATGTGTCTTTATGTGTGTCTGCATGGGTGAGAATTTGTTGCTGTGTGCTTATGTCTGGATGTGTACATGTTTGTGTGTGTTCATGTGAGCAAGTACCATGTGAGAGAAGTGGAGAAGTGTTTATATGTATGCAGTCACATGTTCCTGTGCTTTCAAATGCTCATCTATGTGTCTGGCCCCGTCCCTGGACATTTTGGGGGTATCCAGAGCTGTGGACCTGTTTGTTCCTACTTCTACATCCAAGGGCAGCTTTCTCTTAAGATTGACCTCTTTTTCCAGACATCCATGCTCCAAAAGGCACGGGTCCTGCTCACCCAGACCCCTTCCCATGTCTCTCTGCAGAAGCTGCCTAACAGAGTGCAGGAGGGAGGGTGAGCCTAGGTTCCACGTTTCCCAGAACCACTCACGAGCCTTGAGCTTTGAAGTGGGAGAAAGCCTAAAGGTTGTTATTATTGCCAATTACCCCATAAACCCCAGGATGTGAGAGTGGACTTCCTACTGTCCCCAGCTGGCCTGTGACAGAAAACACTCAGGGCACTGCCTGTCTTGGGGTGGGTCCTGTAGTTTGAAGAGTGTCTGCTCAGGTTGTTAAGCCTGCAGCTGTAACTGTAATGTGCAAGGGACAGGCAAACCACCAGTGTTTGCCGAGGAACTCTTCATGGCCCCTCAGAGCAACGCTGAGTCTGGTCCCGTTACTCCTTCTGGGGCTACCCTCTATCTTGGAAAGTTGGTGTTTGAAGGGCTATGGCAGAGAGGTCTGTGGAACCCTCTCCACGTGTTCTCCACCATGGAGCCGGGGATTCCTCTCTCCTCAGCATGAGCTGCTCGCCCAGGGAAACCCCTGTCCACACACTTCAGGGAATCCTGCTGTCTGCAGAGGCCACTTTCATCCTCTTAGATGAAAGCTCCGAGGTGAGGTGTTTATTGATAGGGAGAAGGGTAACATTTGTACTCAAGATCACCAGTCGAAATAGCTATAGGGACACGGCCTATGCTGGGAGGGCTGGAGCTGAAGTGATATGTCATAAGCCATCTTCCACTTCTGAAGGAATTAGCTGGAATCCAACTGAAAGGCCCGAGAGGAAGTTCTCTGGACTGACTCACGGGTATAGGTATGGGATGTAAATCCACTGCATAGAAGAAAGGAAGGGAGCAGGGTAGGGGTGGGGAGTAGGAGCAAAATAGGGTTTGGTGCACTGGGACACAGTCATCCTCCTTCAGGTTCCTATCAGAAAGTTCATGTCCCCATCAAGAAAGTTCCTCTGGCTAGCTGTGGCAATATACTGCTGTAATCCCCACAAGGAGTCAGAGGCCAGCCTGGTCTACATAGTAAGTGCCAGGCTAGACCTTCTGTGGCTTCAAGGCATAAACTTCCAAACCTGGATTTTCCAGAAGTTAATTTAAAGGGATTTAAGTGGGGGACTCAGTGTTTAAGAGCAATTGCTGTTCTTGCAGAGGACATCGGTTCAGTTCCCAGTACCCAACAATGGATGGCTCTCACTACCTGTAACCCAAATTCCAGGAACTCTAATGCTCTCTTCTGGCCTCCACGGGCACATGGTGCACACCTGTTCGTTCAGGTACACACATATACACAAAATCAATATTTTCAAAATGATTTAAGGGGGTGGGGAAGATGAACAAACATGTCACTCAACGCCTCTGTCCCTCTCCTGTCATCTTCACCATTCACCAGACAGACAGGCAGACATCAAAGCTGGCCTAGTGTGTGCAGCCGCCCTGGGGCTGCTTCCTTGCTTTTGCCCTCTCTCTGCCCTCCACACTGCCTCCTGACAGTCCAGGCTCCTCCTCCTGAGGTTCCCATCTTTTTTTACTTCCTCTTTACTCTCCAGGCTTGAGCCAAGGCTACACAGTAAACCGCTTCCCCCTGCTGGCAGCAGGGACTGCAGATCCTACTAACCGCTTCTTAGGAGCTGAAGGCCCCTCTTAGTCCTGCTCACCCTTCTCTAGCCTGAAGCCAACCACACTGCTTGCCATAGTCACCATTAGTGGTGGGGTCTAGGGATCACCCAAATCTTCAAGGCAGAGGAACCCCATCCTGGTCCTCTCAATATACGCACTACTTGAGTCTGTTTTGACAACCAGTTTATCTATCCACGGCCTGCACTCTGACCCCACTGGTCTTGGCAGTGTCTCCACAACACTGCTAACCCTGCCTGCTGTTTCTCACTGACCGCTTACTGGAGAGCTGAGGAGCTGTTTTAGGGGGAAGTTGTCCCAGTCCAGGCAGGGAGAGACAGTCCTGGGAGAGAAGCCAGTAGCTGACAGAACTACCCCTGGGCCTTGGGCTTCCGGAGTTGGGATGGAAGGACCTCTGCCCACTGGCAGCAGCAGGGGCTCCAGGTCCTACTAATTTTGCTTCTTAGGAGCTGAAGGGCCCCTCCTCAAACTAGTTTGCCATTCTGCAGCCAGAAGCTAACCAGGCTGAGTATGTGTGTTCACAGAGAATGGTGGTAGCAAGGGAGTGCCCAAAGCTGACCCTGTGTGCTGCCACCGTGCCAGGGCCCCACCCCACAGTAATGTGCATGGAAGGTCAGGGGATGGGCCTGCCTGTTTCTGTGGATCCTCACCCCGGGCCACGGCAGCTTTGGAGGAGGCAAAGGGTCTAGTTAATATTGCTCATGTTCTTTGACCCTCGGCTCTGAGAAAAGGAAGTGGAAGCCCTGACTTGGGAGCACCCCAAAGGAGGTCAGCCTGCTCTTGGAGAAGCCCTTTTTACCCACCTTCAGCCAAAATCCCTGGCCCCATTAACAGAGGTTTCAAGACCTCTGATGGGTGTGATGGAAAAATGATGAAAACCAAAAACAAATTAAGCCCAGTGAAGAGAAGAGAGGGCGATGATAAAGCTGATCTCCAAAAATAATTTAAAATGTCAACAGAAATTGTGCCTGGTGGTGCAGACCTGCAGTCTGGCAACACAGGAGGCTGGGACCTGAGGATCATGAGTTCAAAGTCTGAAGAGTTGTTGTCAATGTGACTACTTCTGGAATTAACCCAAAGATGGAGGAGCACACCTGTGAGGGACTTTTTCTAAATTTGAAGCAGGCAGGTCCGTTTCTAATCTGGATCTTTGAGGTGGGAGCCCACTACTAATCTGGGCCAAGCTTTCTGCTGAAAGCCCATATAAGGACATGGAAGAAGGGCTTTGGTTCTTTGCCTGTTTGCTCTTTCTTGGTTCCTAAAATGAATGGAGAAGGCTAGAGGGCAAGCTTTCATGACTGGCTTCTTCCTGAATACAAGGTGCAAGGTGACAAGCTGGCTCAAGCTTCTGCCACCTTGACTTCCCTGCAATATTTCTTTATCTTTTTTAAAGATTTATTTATTTTATGTGTATGACCATTTCTCTGCGTGCGTGCGTGCGTGTGTGCTTGCGTGCGTGCTTGCGTGCGTGTGTGCGTGCGTGCGTGCGTGCGTGCTGTGTGTGTGTGTGTGTGTGTGTGTGTGTGTTGGTTTGAAAGAAAATGGCGTCCAAAGGGAGTGGCACGATTAGGAGGTGTGGCTTTATTGAAGTAGGTGTGGCCTTGTTGGAGGAAGTGTGTCACTGTGGGGGTAAGCTTTGAGGTCTCCTTTGCTCAAGCTACACTCAGTGAGACAGTCTACTTCCTGTTGCCTGTGGATCAAGATACAGGACTCTCAACTCCTCTCCAGCAACACGGTTGCCTCCATGCCACCATGTCTGTCTGTACACCTCCATATCAAACCATGATGATAATAGATTTAACCTCTGGAAATGTAAGCCTCCCCAATTAAATGTTTTTTTTTTTTTTTCTTTATAAGAGTTACTGTGATCATGGTGTCTCTTCATAGCAATAGAAACCCTAACTAAGACGATATGTGTCTGTGCATCATGGATATGCCTAAATGCCCAAGGAAGCCAGAGAAGACATTGGATCCTAGAACTAGAACTGGAGTTACAGATGGCTATGGCCACCATGTGGTGCTGGAAATGGAACTCAGATCCTCTGCAAAAGCAGCAAGTGCTTTTAACTGCTGTGTCATCTCTACAGTACCAGTGCCCCACACACACACACTACTTTTTTTTTTTTTTTTTTTTTTTTTTTTTTTTTTTTTTTTTTTTGCTTGTTTGTTTTTTTTGTTTTCTTGAGACAGGATTCCTTTGTGTAGTTCTGGTTGTCCTGGAACTTGCTTTGGGAGACCATGCTGGCCTCGAATTCAGAGATCTGCCTCTCTGCCTCCCAAGTTCAGGAATTTAAGGCATGCACTATTACCACCTGGTTCTCTCTTTTCCTTTTTAAAAATGAACTAGTTAATTAATTAATTTCTGACACAGGGTTTCTCTGTATAGCCCTGGCTGTCTCAGATCTCACCATGTAGACTAGGCTGGCCTTGAACTCAGACATCCACTTGCCTCTGCTGCCAAATACAGGGATTAAAGGCAAGTGCCATCGCCACCCAGCTTGATTTATTTATTTCTTTTTTTAAAAGATAATTTATTTATTTTATATACATTGGTGTTCACCTGCAAGTCTGTCTGTGAGGAGGACTCAGATATCCTAGAAGAGGAGCTACAGACAGCTGTGAGCTGCCAGGTAGGTGCTGAGTTTTGAACCCAGATCCTCTGGGACAGCAGCTAGTGCTCTTAACCACTGAGCCATCTCTCCAGCCCCAGATCTATTTATTACTATTTTATGTGCATTGATGTTTTGCCTGCATGTATGCCTACATGAAGGTGTTGATCTCCTGGTACTGGAATTACAGACAGTTGTGAACTTCCAGGTAGTTTCTGGGAATTAAATCCAGTCCTCTGGAAGAGCAGCCATTGCTCTTAACCAGTGAGTCATCTTTCCAGACCAACCCTTCCATTCTTAACTTGCTTTTGTCAGAGTATTTGTTACAATAGAAACATAAGTGAGGCACCTTGTAAAAGTGAGGATTTGAGTTTAGTCCTCAGCACAGGAGTAAAAAGGCAACATCATGCTGAGCGGTGGTAGCGCAGGCCCTTTAATCCTAGCACTCCAGGAGTAGAGGCAGGCGGATCTCTGAGTTCCAGGATAGGCTCCAACGCTACACAGAGAAACCCTGTTTTGAAAAACCAAAATAATAGTCAAGGTCAACTTCTGGCCACATGTATGTTACACCTGCATAGAAAGCTGCACATGTATGACCACACGTACACATGAACCCTGATACGCACAGCAGGATACAGGGAGGAGGAGCAGCAATTGGCTCGCATCAGCCCATTTAGTCTTTGCTATAGCATTAGGTAAGACCACCTTGATGTTGTCTGTGAGCAAGCTAAGGCCCTTGACAGGGTCAAGGCCTCTGTGAGATAGCCGAGCAGGGTGCCCAGCAGCTGCTCTGACTTCAGGACATACAGTTCTTGCAGCCCAGCATGCTGTCTGTGTTCCCTTTGCTTTATTTGGTCTGGGGAAAAAGGAAGAATGGGAGGTGGGATGTCCTGAAAGGACACTAAAATTATGGGAGTTTGTTTCTTGGAAGTCCCAGGGCAGACAGGCAGATTCTCTGAGGGGACGGAACTGAAGAAGCAATTGTGTGCAAGACTGAGAAAGGAGATCCTCATGGGCAGAGCAGTGAGGCCTGGGAGACCTTGTCTCCAAAGGAGAGACTAGAAGGGTTTACAGCCCCAGTGCTAGCAGCTGTCACCTACAGGGAGGAGGGGATGATTTCCATTGCTACTTAATATGCTTTTGTGCTTAAAAAAAAAAAAAAAGGAAAACAAACCTGATGGTTCTTTTGTAAATAAAAGCATTAAGGGGAAAATATAAAGAAAGGCAGGGTAAGGGTGTCTGTCCTGGCTAATTTTATGACAACTTGACGCAAGACAGAGTCATTGGAGAGAAAAGACTTGCCTCCATAGAACTGGGCTGTAGGCGAGCCTGTAGGGCATTTTCTTAATCAGTGTTTGATGGGGAATGGCCCAGCTCATTCTGGGTGGTGCCACCCTGGGCAGGTGGTCCTGGGTGCTATAACAAAGCAGGTTGAGCCTGGCGTTGGTGGTGCATGCCTTTAATCCCAGCACTTGGGAGGCAGAGGCAGGTGGATCTCTATGATTTCAAGGGCAGCCTGGTCTCCAGAGTGAATGCCAGGATAGGCTCCAAAGCTACACAGAGAAACCCTGTCTCGAAAAGCCAAAAGAAAAAAAAAAAAAAAGAAAAAAGAAAGCAGGTAGGTTGAGCAAGCCATAAGAAGCAAGCAAGTAAGCTGGGCAGTGGTGGCACACACACCTTTGATCCCAACACTCAGGAGGCAGAGCAGGTGGATCTCTATAATGATAACTCTTCCTGCCAGCCTCCTGAGTTCCGCCACCATGTTAGGGCCTCAAATAACACACAGAGATTAATATTAATTACAATGCTGCTGGCCAATGACTAGGATTTCTTATTTGCTAGCTCTGTCTTAAGTATCAACCATAACCACTAATCTATATATTTTATAAAGACTTGTCAAGGACTCCATCATCATGCATCCTCTCTCCCCTGGGATCACATGGTTACTCTTCTCCTTACTACATTTCCCAAAATCCTCCTCGACTCCTAGCCCCACCTATCTTGCTTCCCTATTGGCCAACAGTGCTTTATTTATCAACCCATAAGACAAACATATACAGAGAAGGACCTCCCCCATCAGATTCTCTGTGAGTTCAAGGCCTACAGAGCGAGTGCCAGAACAGGCTCCAAAGCTACACAGAGAAACCCTGTCTTGAAAAACCAAACCAAACAAAAAAAAAAGAATCGAGCAAGTAAAGCAAGTAAGCAGGAGTCTTCCATGGCCAATGCATCAGCCCTTTGCCTCCAGGTTCCTGTCCTGTTTGAGTTCCTATCATGACTTCCCCTGATGGACTGTAATTCAGGATAGTAAGCCAAATAAACCCTTTTCTCCCCAACTTGCTTTTGGTTATGGTGTTTACAGCAATTATAACTATATCTAAGACAGTGTCAGAGTACCATATTCTGTAATGTCTGATATGTAAAGTGTGCAGAGGTATACACACAATTGTATGCAAAATGTTTGGAACTCAAAGATGCAGCTTGTAGAGGCCTGAGGCAGGCCTGGTTAGACAGGTTGAGATTTCCCCCAGCTGTTTCATGCTTAGGACACATAAATGGTGGGAGATGTCATTCTGTAAATATGTTTCACTTACTGGTTGATGAATAAAACACTGTTGGCCTATAGGGAAGCAAGAGTGATGGGTATAGGAGATGGGGAGGATTCTGGGAAGTGTAGGCACAGTCAGTCATCATGTAGGACACAAGAGGAATAACATGGCTCTGGACATTTCTTTGGTAAGATAAGACCACGTGGAAATACTTAGAAATACATAGAAATGGGTTAGTAATTAAGACAGAGCTAGCCAATAAGAAACTATAGCCAATGACCAACAGCTTTATAATTAATATAGTGTCTCATGTATTATTTGGAGGCTGAAGTGGCAGCAGGACCCAGGTGGCTGGCGGGAAAGAGTACTCGTAACATAACGGCGCCCAACATGAAGCGCCAACTGAAGGTGAGGATGTAATTATATCACTAGACTCAAGATAGATGATAAATGGGTGTTTATTGGGGACAATTATACAGAAAAATACAAAGAACTGCCGGAGTGTTTCCCTGCTCTTCCTACCAGATGCGCTGACCCAACAGAAAGAGCATGCAAAGGAAAGCCAACCTCAAGCTCCTCTGCTTCTGTCCACTTGAAGCCACACCCAAAGGGGTGTGGCCGCCACTTCAGGTCCACAGACCAGATGTCTACACATAAACAAACAAAAAAGGCGACTGTTGGGCTGGGGAGATGGTCAGTTGGTGAGACCCTTGTCATACAAGCGTGAGAACCTGGGTTTGACTCCCCAGAGCACACATGAAGCTAGGAGCAGTGGTGTCTATCTGCAATTCCAGTGCTTCTGCGGAAAGGTAGGAAGTAGACACGGGGATTCTAGGCTGTTCTCAGGCAGCAGCAAGAAACAACACACCCTGTCAGAGGAAGTGGAAGGTGAGATTGTCCCAAGATTGTCCCCCTACTTCCAAAGATGTCAATGACACACAAATACCCAAATTCACACACATGAGTGTGCATGCTCGCTCTCTCTCTCTCTCTCTCTCTCTCTCTCTCTCACACACACACACACACACACACACACAAATAGAAGCCAGTATTAGTTGGAAGTGTAGCCCTGTGGTCGGGCACCTCAGTCCCCAGCACAGCACAAAAAGTGGGTGAAAAAACAATTGTTTTATTATTGACAATTTTACATTTATCCATAAATAAGAAACTTTCACAAATAAGATTATTTTCCATGTGTCAGTCATAATTTAACACATGATAAAAACTGTCACAAAGCTGCCACCCTGCTTATATATATACAGACAACCATATGAAGATAAGTCAAGATCCAGGCATGGTGGCTCAGGCCTGTCTAATCCAGGAACTGGAGAAGATCAGGAGTTCTGGGTTATCCAATCTACACAGGGATTCATTTTTTTTTTTTTTTTTTTTTGAAACAGGGTTTCTCTGTGCAGCCCTGGCTGTAGACCAGGCTGGCCTCAAACTTAGAGATTTGCCTGCCTCTGCCTCCTGAATACTGGGATTAAAGGCGTGTGCTACCAGTACCCAGTTTACACAGGGTTTTTGTTTTTTGTTTGTTTTTTTTTTTTTAAGATTTTATTATGTATACAACATTCTGTCTCCACGTATGCTTGCACGCCAGAAGAGGGCACCAGATCTCATTATAGATGGTTGTAAACCACCATGTGGTTGCTGGGAATTGAACTAAGGACCTCTGGAAGAGCAGCCAGTGCTCTTAACCTCTGAGCCATCTCTCCAGCCCTACACAGGGGTTTTAAGATTAGCTCAGGCTCCAGGAGACCCCATCTTAAAAACAAGCACACAAAACTACCCAAACAAAACAAATAACAAAGATTAATCAAAACTGTATTTTAATATAGATATTTTGATATAGTAAGTGGGAAAATGTTTACTGTCTCTTTAATTATAGCCCTTCCTTCCTTTTTCCTTCCTTTGTGTTAAATGATCTGAAGCCCAGGATGATCTCAGAGTTCCTATGTAGCTGAAGATGACCTTAAACTTCTGATTGTCCTGCCTCCACTTCCTGAGTTCTGGGATTGCAATCATACATGACCAAACCAGATTTACTCTTTGCTGGGATGAAAACCAGGGCTTCTTGTATACTAAGCAAGCATTTTACCAACTGAGATACAACCTAGCACTGCAGATCTCATCTCAGTGGCAGTAAAAACTATTGAAGAAATGATTAAAGGTTGTGCTAATGTCTGATGTGCACTGACAAAGGCGAAAAATATCTTAAATGTTTTAGGTAGTGCTGGAGAACAAATAGAAACCACGTGAAATGGGTTTAGTGCCGTGTAATTCCACCTTAGATATTGGGTAATCTTTCTCTTGCTTTTCTTACAATTCAGTAGCTTGGGAAGTCAGTTATATAATCTTACCAAGCAGTAGACTTTGATTTCAGAACCTGTTATAAGACGGTTAACAATTATCTGGTTGTGATGGAGAGTGAATGAAACCCAATGAAACTTGGGAGACAGAGGCAGGAGATATAATGCAAAACCGTTCTCAGGTATACAATAAATTTGAGGACAGTCTGAGCTATAGAAGACCCCATCTAAAAACACAAAAGAGTTGGGGCTGTGTGGTGATATACTATTGATGATTTAATAATTTTGATCTCAGACAAGCTTTAATAAATCATAAATAATATATCACCACAGCTCTGGTGGCACAGGCCTATAATAACCTCAGTTATTTGGGAGGTTGAGGCAAAGGATTGTAAGTTCAAGACCAACCTGGGCTATAGGATGAGTTCAAGGCTATCCTGGGCAACTTGGTGAAACAATGTCTTGAAATCAAAGTGAAAAAGAGGATCAGGGATATAGCTCAGTGGTATATATACAAGGCTGGAGCTTCACCATTACCACCAGAAAGAAGAAGAGGAAGGGGCAGAGAAGAAAGGAAGGAAGGAAGGAAGGAAAGAAGGAAGGAAGGAAGGCCCGATGTCTACTCAAATGAAAGTGCTTGTCCCCCAAGACTGGAGTTCAATCCTAGAAAGACTCAAAAGTGGAACACCAAGACCACAGAGTCCCTTCTGATATTCACATCTGTGTCCACACACTTATTATGTACAATACAATAATAAATAGACGGATAAAGCTAACACTAAGAATTCTAACACTAATCATCTATTCTCAGAGGTCAGAACAGTACCAGGAAGGAAAAGCCAAGTTGTTCACATCTTGTTTTTCTTGTAAATCTATAGCAAGGAGTAAAAAATAAGATTATTGTACATGTTCTTAATGCCAATAGCCTTTCCCCATTTTTCATTTATTTTATTATTAAGATTTCTTTTATTATTTATTTTATGCATATGTGTGTGCAGGTGCTTGAGTAGGCCAGAAGAGGGCGTCAGATCCCCTGGACCTGGAGTTGCAGGTTGTGAGCTGCCCCTGATCCTGTGTGGATGCTGGAATCAGAGTTCTAGCCTTTATGATGCAGCAGCAAGTGCTCTGAACCACTGAGTCACTTTTCCTGTCCTGAATTTATTTATTGTAGAGACAGGGTATTGTGTAACCCGGGCTGGCCTGAAACTCCATATGTAGCTCAGGTTAGTCTTAAACTACTGATTTTCCTGCCTCTGCTTCTCCCAACTGCTGGGATTACAGGTATGTACCATTGCATCCAACTTTCAGCTAGAGCTTTATGTATCCATTTATTTGATACAGGGTCTCACTATGTTATCCTGGAACTTGCTGTGTAGACTAGGCTAGGCTCTAACTCACCAAGGTCCACCTGCCTCAGCCTCTTGAGTGCTGGTGTTAAAGGTATGTACTACTGTGCCAAACTTAAAAAATAAAATAAAACAAGCACTAAACATTATTTCTTGTGTAAATATTTTGGATTATGTCTTTTCAAGATAAACCTCTTGCCAGGGGTGTAGCTCACTTGGAAGAGTGTCTGTATACAATTCCCAGTAACACAAAAACCCCTGGTGTAGTGGGTGCTTACCTGAATCCCAGTACTTAGGAGTTCAAAGAGAAGGCTCAGGAGTTCAAGTTCATCCTCCGCTCCGTAGTTTGAGGCCAGCCTCAGCTGGCCAAGGACAGCCTTGGCTACATAGTGAGAACCTGTCTCAAAAATATGATGACAAAGGGCTTTCCAGCCTAGCAGAGAAGATGCTAGCTTCAGGTTTGGGGAGACTGATGGAATAGGACACCCAATACTTTTTTTCTGGCCTTTGCACACATACAGAAGTACCTGCATCTGCTCTCAGAAATGTACAATCAAAAAAGTTTTTAATGCAGAAGTAAAAAGAACCAACCTACAAAATACAAGTTACAGCATGCTGAACATTGAAATGAGGACTCAGCACATGCTAGGCAAATGCTCTACCATGGATGGAAGGATGAATGCTAGAGGTAAGACTGGGGATTACTAGGGCTGGAGAGATGGCTCAGGGGTTAAGAACACTGCCTGTTCTCCCAGAGGTCCTGAGTTCAATTCCCAGCAACCACATGGTGGCTTACAACTATCTATAATGAGATCTGGTGCCCTCTTCTGGCATGCAGGCATACATGTAGGCAGACCACTATATACAAAATAAATAATACCCATTCTTTTAAAATTGCATCTGGGATTTTCAGCTTTCCGAGTCCCCCAACTGTTTTACAGAGGGTCTTTTTCTCTGTTTTCCTGTTGCATGTGTGTGCTTCCTTAAATCCATAAATGCCTTCTTTGACTGTTAAAAATAAGTAATAAATAAAATAAAATAAATCTCCTCTAAACTAACAAGTTTTTCCTACTGTGAGATATTTACTTCACTGTATCACTTGATAAGTCTCCTAAGCTCCTGCTTTGCTGTTTAGTAGGCAGGGTGTGACTAACCCAGAAATCAGGTCTACTGCTCTACTTCTAGTGGAGGGACGAGGGGGCACGCAGCTGTGCAGTTCAGGAGAGGAAGGGGTGCTTCAGACCTCAGGGGCACAGGGCGCCAGCCTACCCAGGGTCCCCTCCCTCTGACTCTCCTCTGGTGCCAAGCCTGGCTCCAGAAGAGTTGAGACAAAAGCCATAAAACAGCTTTTATGCAACAGTCTCTGGCTTCACAGAGGCGCACTTGGCTAGCACCCTCACAGTCAAGAGTGCTGGGAATGAAGAAATCTGTCTCAGCTAATGGTTAAATTGAGCCGTCAAACTCCCCAATAAAGCTTCCATCTTGAACATGTTTCAAAACTTAAAATATCCAAAGGAAAATAAAAGCTCTTCTCTTTGGGGGTGGGAAAGACCTTTTAGTCCCTGAGTCATTGTCTTTCTGCTAAGCCTCAGGACAGGCAGGAACAAATCCCCTACTCTCTGAGGACCCCAGGGGTTCCCTTTTTCACCTTCGCACCACCTGGGAAGAGGGCAGGGATCCCTCTCCCAGTGTTCCAGGAGACAGGACTCCACTGACTGAATTTGAGCTCAGTTCTACATTGGAATCAGAAGGAACACGAGACTCATGCCTTGTCACCCGGCCTGGGTTTGTCCCATCTGTCTTGCTACACTGTGGTGGAGCTGTGAATCTCCAGGAAGCTCTCCCGGGGTCCCATCTGCATGCTGCAGCGATGGTGAAGGCATTCTCTGAGGATGGCAGTGTGAGAAATGGAAGCCCAGACTTCCTGCCCAACTCACCAAAGGCTGCCCAGAAACCACATTTGTTAGGGCCTTTTAATTTCATTTTTACCCTTTGAGAATTTTATACATGAATACAAAGCAATAGGGCTATATTCACACCACTCCACTCCACTCCACCCCACACCATCCAAGATATTTAGCCTGCATCTTGATGTCATCATTTTCTCTTCTTCCTCCTCTTCTTTTCTCTTCTTCTAGATAACCCACTGAGTCCAGTTACTGCATATGTGCGTGGGTGTGGGCCATCCACCATGGCATGGGAATCCTACCAGTGGCCACATCCTCAAAGAATGCATTAATCCGGGCTTCAGAAGACTTAGAACAGCTGTTCTCAATAGAGTCACCGACAAACCTGCTGGGAAAACAGCAGACAAGGAAGACAGCTGTGTGGCTGCTGAGGCCAAGGAAGGCCAGAGATCAGCAGGAGCTGCCAAGGCCACGAACCTGCAAAGAGGGGCTCTTCCCCAGAGATGTCAGTGGGAGCATGGCCTGCAGGCATCTTGATGAGAGTCCCATCTTGTCTCCAATGCTGGAGGAGAGAAACACATTTCTGTTGGAAAGAAGGGAGGGAGGGGGGTAGGAGGAAGGAAAGGAGGGGCATAGTCCTAGGGCAAGAAAATGGAAGTCGAATGGCTGACAAGCACCAAACATGAACAAAACATTGTTAAAACAAAAAGTTATCTGAGTAGGTGGTATAACTCTGTGGATATGACCCCAGTACTTAGGAGGCTGAAGGAGCAGTGTTTGAGGCTAGCCTGAGCTACATATGGAGACCTGTCCCAATGATTTATAAATAATAACAGCAAGAATAACAAAAAGCTGAGAAGCCGGTGGACAAAGGCACTTTCTGCCAAGTCTGGTGACCTGAATCCGATCCTTGGGTCCCACAGTGTAGAAGGAGGGAACACCCTCTCAGAAGTTGTCCTCTAATCGACAAATAGGTGCTATGACACCACACACCCACCCTCCAATAAATAAATAGATTTTTTAAAGTTGGTAATATTCATTCAAGGTTAGGAGTGGGTAGGGTTAAGGCATTTCCATTTTATCGCGGAGAGTATAAAATGGTGGGGTGGTTTTAGAATGCACACATCAAGCAAATTTCAAATAGTCTGTTTTTGAAGATCTCTATGGAAACAGGCAAGCTTGAACAGGGTGACCCTGCAGCAGTGGATAATAGTGAAAAAGCCAGAGCAGCCAGTGCAGAACAGCATTATTGCCCCGTTAGTACGGAGCCTTGGTAAATGTGCAGTGTCAAGCCATCACAAAGCAGTTTGTATGCGACGCGAACTTGGAGGAACAGGCAAGGAGTGCTGCAGAGATGCTCACTTTGGCAGCACCGACACTAAAATTAGAGCAGTAACAGGAGTAGCCTGGTCCCTATGCAGGGAACACAGAAATTTGTGAAGTCTTCTGTGTTAGAAAAAGAAAAGGAAGTGCAGTTGGGATAAAGAAGGAAAGAACTATAGTTCAATCAAAACTATATATAGCCGGCCAGTGGTGGCACTCACCTGGCACTCCGGAGGCAGAGGCAGGTGGATCTCTATGAGTTTGAGGCCAGTCTGCTCTACAGAGTGAGTGCCAGGACAGCCAAGGCCATACAGAGAAACCCTGTCTTGAAAAGCAGAAAAACAACAACGAAACAATATATAAAAGTATTTAAATAAGATAGACTAATAAATTAAATAGTGTATGTATTTATGTACTTATAGGTAACTAGAAAATCATTTGTAGATATAAACCTTTTTTACATAAGTATAACTAATAATACTCACCTTTGTTTTGAGTGCATTTCATGTAGCACAGGCTGGCCTCAAACTTACCAGGCATGTAGTGGGGATAACCCTGAACCTCTAATTTTGCTGCTGTCTCCTGCTGAGTGCAGGAGTTGTCTGGTTTCTGTTTGCAGGGGATTGAACCTAGTACCTAGTACATGCCAAGCCAGCACTCTACCAACTGAGCCACCTCCAGTTACACTTTTTTTGTTGTTTTGTTTTGTTTTGTTTTGAGACAGGGTTTCTCTGTGTAGCTTTGGAGCCTATCCTGGCACTCGCTCTGGAGACCAGGCTGGCCTCGAATTCACAGAGATCCGCCTGCCTCTGCCTCCTGTCCAGTCACACTTTTGCTTTTGTTTTTGAGACAGAATCTCTCTTAGGTAGCCCTAAATGGTCTGGAACTTGAGGCAATTCCCCTGCCTCCATTTCTCCAGTGCTGGTATTACAGCCCAGTGCCACCACATCTGGCTACCAGTGGTTAATTTTGAAAACTTGTGTTTTAGAGTTTTTACATTTCATATTGTTTATCAATTTAACACTTTTTAAAAAACCTTTTCTTTTTGGTGTTCAGAATTGATAATTATATGCTTCTAGGTTTTATACCGAGCTTAAGATATAATTTAAGAACTGAATTAGTGAAAGAATATAGTAGTGATGTCGCCTATGAGAAAACCCAGCAGGGCTGGAGAGTCGGCTCTGCAGTCGGCTCTGAGTGCATAATTGTGCTTCCCAGGCAGCTCACAGCTCCTGTAATTCTAGCTCCCAGGGGATCAGGTGCCTCTGGCCTCTGTAGGCACCCACACACATACTCACAAAGGGACATACACAAGTACACATAATCAAAAAAGAAATGAATCTTCAAAATAAAACTAACTTCAGCATCTCGGACAGTCCTAAAGCACATGCTTCAGGACTGGTGAATGGGTCAGTGGGAGGGAGCCCTATGGAGGCACTTTTGCCAATGCCCATCAAAAGGAAAAGTGCCATGCTGAGCAACGTGGGAATTCCAGCCTCATAGCACTACCTGGGCAAGCAGGCTGAACATAGGCAGTAATATAGATAACAGTTACCCTTTGTTAACCATTTAACACACTGTTCTAAGCCCTCAGGGATAGAAGGCTGAACCACACCCATCCCATAAAGGCTGACTGACACTAACTTCTCTAAGCTCTTTATTAAGGTCGCTGGCCACCTTAGTCTCCAACAACTCCATAAAGTGGGTACTCCATTAGGTCCAATTTACAAATAAGGAAGTGACAGCTGAAAAAGGGGGAGCAACTTGCTCAGAGTCACACACAGGAGCCCAAGGTTTGAATTCTGGTTTTGACTTCAGATTCTGGTACCTGTAGCCTCTACACCACTGGGTGTTAAGTCACCCAGTCCCATTGTAGCCTTTGACACTGGGGTTTGTTGAGTCATATCGCTTGGGATTATTGCTTGGAGGGCGGGCCAGTGCCTTCAATTTGTCACTTTTGTTTTTAAATGGCACTTGAAGAGAAGCAAAGGTCAGCTTCTCAAGTGTCCTTGCAGCAGGAACAAGCATGCGATTGCTCTGGGTGAAGTTGCTTGCACAGTGGGCTTTGGCTGAGCAGGGAAGGCAGATGGGGAGTGGTGGTGGGGGTAGCCACAGTGCTGCAGGAACACACACACACACACACACACACACACATGCGAGAGCGCGGCCCAGAGCTACCAGGGTTTCACCAGAACTTGAGAGGCAGAGACAGTGACCTCTGAGTGGCACAAGAAAGCTCTCAGGAAGCTTCTAGATGAAGTTCAGTCACATTTGGCCTCTGGGCCTGTGACTCAGCAGATTCAGGGTTTGGAAAACCCAGCCTGGGCAGGCAAGGGGAGGTCAGTGGCTCTGGCCACCTGCAGGGTATGGAGTCCTAGCCCTCTTCAGCAAGTACTAGCTCTTCCCTTGAGAACTAATAACTAATGGCTTGGGGGCTTCTGGGTCTCAACAAAAACCAATGACTCATCTCTCCTCCCAAAGCAGGGATTAACTGATTTACCCAGAGAGCCAGGCGGAGCCTGCAGGGAGGCTACAGATCCCTCGTTTGCCCCAGCCTGCCAATAACCTCTCCTTCCTCCACCCATTGCAGGGGATTCAGGAGCACTCATGCGTGAGGGATACTGAGAACAACGTTCCAGCCTGGATTGGGGGGTTGCTCCTCCCAGTACGCCACCAGCTCAGAGACCCATTATTAAGAGATAAACCACAAAGCTTTTAGAACCACACTACCTGTGTTTGCATTCTGGTTTTGCCAGTTACTAGATACAAATTGGGGCATATGGCTTAACTTTTCTGTTTCATCTCTGCAAGAATAACTTGTTTGGAAAATTAAGTGAGAAAACATGCAAAAAGCACCCAGGAGACATTGCGTGCTAAGTATCACTGTAGATACAGTAGTAAAGTCCAACCCCTTGCCCACATGTACACTTCTTTTGGAGACAGGGTCTCATTATGCAGCTCTGGCTAGCCTGGAACTCAATGTGTAGACCAGACTGGCCTTGAACACACAGAGATCCACAGCCACCTGAGTGCTGGGGTTAAAGGTGTAGACCCACTTGAGATTGTTTACTGGAGACCTGTGTATGGTCACAGCAGCATGTCTGTCCTTAGCTTCACTGAACTACAGCTTAAAATGCCCATGAGCCAAAAAGATGGCTCAGCAGTTAAGAGTACTGGCTGCTTTTCCAGGGAGCCCAGGCTCAGTTCCCAGCACCCACAGGGTGGCTCACACCATCTGTAACTTCAGTCCCTGGGATCCAAGTGGCACTGTATGCACGTGGTACGCAGACATACACACACTCAAGACATGTATACACGTCAAGAAAGGAAGGAAGGGAGAAAGCTGGTGACACACATTTAGCACTTTAACCACAACAAAAATTTTATAAAACATAAGATCTTAAACATTTAATTTTAAAAGTTTCACATTTATTTACTTGAAGGAACCAGCTTCCCTTTTGGCAGCCATAACAGCCGAACACGTGCTTGCCATAAACCTGCCTTGGTCACTTAGAGGTCAAGATGCCTGTCTCGTGACAGGGAACCAATCGGAAGTTAGCTGGTGGCGCTATGCTTTACGACCCTGAGTGTGCTTTACGGACAAGGGCACAGCAATGACATAGAGAGCATAGCAACCACCCTGGGAAGGCCTATGAGCCATAACAACCAGTTGACCAATCAACACAGGGCAAGCCCTCCAAGCCTGGAGGCACACCAATCATGAGCCTGTGCGTACCCCTAGACACTCCCCTTACGCTGCCCCATAAGATCTTTTGGGAGACCCTAGGAGCCATCTTTTCATAGCGGGTGGGTGAAAGACCCGAGCTAACATGGGGTTAGCTCGTTAAATTACAATAAAGCCTCGTGCAGTTTGCAGCAAGCTCTCGAATCCGCCTGGTGATTCTCATTGTGTGTGTGTGTGTGTGTGTGTGTGTGTGTGTTTGTGTCCATGCAGTGGCCATGTGTGTAGCATGGTGTTCATGAGGAAGTCATAGGACAACTTTTAGGAGTGGGTTCTCTTCTTCTACTAGGTAGGTTTCTGCTTGGTGGCAAGTGCCTTTACCTGCAGAGTCATTCTGCCAGCCACAAACATAAAATTTCATAATTCAAATATTCAGTTTCTCTAAGAGCTAGTGCCCTTGGCCTACACACACACACACACACACACACACACACACACACACACACACACTGTGATTTCATTTGTACATGCTCACCGTACACAGGCACACAATATTAACAAATTACAATGTAGTTTATAATAGTTTAAAAAGTATTTTCAAATCTAGAAAATCAGTGGTCTTTGCATCAAATTTCAAATAACGAATATGTGCCTCTTTACTAAAAAATAAATCAATAGGGGACTGGAGAGATGGCTCAGAGGTTAAGAGTACTTGCTGCTCTTGTAGAGGACCTGGGTTCAATTTCCAGAATCCTGAGTGGCTCATAACTGCCTGTAACTCCCACTCCAGAGAATCTGCTGCCCTGGTCCAGCACATGCATACATACACACAGAGACACATGAATAAAAACATAATAAATAGATAAATTCCTTGAAAGGTGGTCTTGGATGTTAGTGGAGGAGGACAAAGTAAAGTCTGAGTGTGTCTTTCCTGGGACTGTACTGCCCTGGAGGTGACAAGCGCAAATACTTTGGCTGGGTGCAAAGACTGGGTAGGGCAAGATCAGCGGGTTGGGAAAG